ACAACATTTAAGACAGCAGGACCACTATAATTTAAAAAAAAAAAAAAAAAAAAAAAAAAAAATATATATATATATATATATATATATATGTATAACAATGTATATATAAATTAGTTCTCATCATTTAAATAAATGATATGAAGTTTGTCAATCAAATATTAAAGGTGACATTAAAAATTATATTTGTATTGTTTAGGTAAAGTTAACTTTGAAATAATACATTTAAAAAAAAATAACATTAAAATTTTAATTTATATTTACAAACAACGTTTTATTTATTTAAAAAAAATTAGCAGTCTACATGTAGCATTATTGTATTGAGTGAATCTCGGCTATAATGAAGGTTGAGAAATAAAAAAAAAAAAATCCCAAGTTCTTAGCTCGTTTTTGTGGAACTCACTTAGAAGTTAGAATTAATAGACGGGAATATGATTTCTGCAGCTTTGAACAATGTTGTTCTTCCGCAAGTGAATGGTATCCAAAAAAAAAATGGTGAAGATTGGATCAAAATACATAATATGTTATCAATACGAAAATATGTGAAAATATATAGTGATCTTGTGTGTTCAACAATGGGAACAGAAAAATTACAAATGTAAGACGGTGATGTCATCTGGAAGTACAGGGAGTAACATAGTATATAGTATGAGAGGACAAAAACAGGAACAGTAACAAAAATGGAATCAGATATTGTAGTGAGAATGAAGGACCAATGAGCGGGAATAACGCGCCCCTCATTTGAAAAAAAACCATAAAACACGCACACCTCCATGACATGTAATAATTACCACCAAATCTCCGCGCAAAGTAACAACGAAACAAAAAGATAAAACTAACATTGCTTTGCACAACACTTCTCTCTCTCTCTCTCCTCTCACATGGTCTTCCCTACCCTCCTCTCTCTCTCTCTCTCTCTCTCTCTCTTTCATCATTATTGTTATTATTTTTGGTTTTTGTTTGTGACAAAGAAACGTGTTGGATAATATTTCTGAATCTTCCCATGATGTTCCTTCCACTCTGAAAAATTCCTCTGACATTCCTCTCCGATCTCCATAGCTTGTCTTTCCACACGCTGGAAGGTACTATATCCCATTCTTGTCCCTTTCAATTCTTGTTAAGCAATCTCGTGAAGTGACTCAATCACTTCATCCATCTTTGCCAGATATTTTCATTCTCAATGTTGGATTCAATGCCGTCAATTTGAGTAGTCCTTGCTAGGTAGGTGATTGTCAGAGGAGTTATTACAATTTCCAGTTTTGAGTAACACCCATGAAGTGAAAATATTGAAATTTGAAATCTTTCATTTTTATTTAGTTTTGACGTTTGGGGTTGGGAGTGATCCCTTTCAAGCTTCCATTCAAAGCACTATCCTTTTATGGGAAGCTTCAATAAAAGTTGAGAATGGAGGTAGATGGGTTTGGGTGGAAAGTGAATTCTAAGCAAAGCTCATAACTAACCACTTTCTTCTGTTCTATTTCAAACTTCACTCTCCCATCTTTCCCTTGTGGTGGGGGTTTTGCTTGCAGAATGCAGATTTTGTTGGCTCTCTGATTGGTGTCATTGTCGCACCAATTGAGGCTTGTTTCCCGGATCAAGTTTTGAGTGTTTTGTGTGTTGTAGGTGAAGTCATTGTGTAAGGGAGGTGGTTCTAGTTGCTTTTGCTTATAAAACCACTGTAGATGGACCGAAGGAGTTGGCTTTGGCGTAGGAAGTCATCTGAGAAAAGTCCAGGTGAAACGGAGAGTTCTGGTTCAGTGTCATCTCTTTCAGAAAGATACTCTGATGATCAGGTGAGCATTGGAATGGAAGTGGTATCAGTGTGTTTAAATTGACCATGTTTTACCATTTTGATTGCACATTTTGTTAAGTGCTTTATAGGCTTACTGTCACACGGTCTTATCCCTTTCAAGGTTTTAAATCGTAGTTGCAGCTGCGATTTCATTCCGATCCTTGATATTATTGAAAATTGTGGTCAAATATGATCACAATTGTGATAATAGAGATCTCAAAAGCCTTTATATGTTTGGGGAGACCTTTTTTTTAAACTTCCTACTTCTTTCTATCTTATCTTTGAATATGTTGAAGGAGATGAAGAATTTAGAGGGAGGGATATGACTTCAAGGCTAGATTAATAAGAAAAACTGTACCATTCTGAGGGAGGGATAATATCTCTAATTGTTCCTACTGTAGCTTGAGATAGCTTGTAATGTGTAGCCAAGATGAAAACAATGGTTATTGCTTGGTCTGCAGGTTTTGAATGGTCTTGTTCCTTTTCTAAGCATAAAGGACTTTATTGTAAATTTATCCCCATTTTAAGTGAGAATTCTGCCTCTTCAGATTATTGTAAAGTTTGGAAAAGTAAGACGATGAATCTGATTCTTTTCACCATGTTGTAAAGGTATATTCAACTCAAGCTGCTTTATCTCCTGAAGTCACGTCTAAGGCTGAATCAAATGAAGAAGTTAGTACCCCCAAAAAAAGTAAAGAAGAAGTTGCGGATGTGAAGATTCTTACAGACAAATTAGCTGCTGCTCTGCTGAATATTAGTGCCAAAGAAGACTTGGTAAAACAGCATGCTAAGGTTGCAGAAGAAGCTGTCTCAGGTATTTATTGTTTTGCCCTTTCCATGCATGTCACTGGAAGTAGTGCTGCTACGTCAAATATTTATTGTCACCAGGAAATGTGAGGCGCATTCAACCCTCAAAAGTGATACTTTTAGGAGATCACTAAGGAAAATTCTTGAAGAATTCTCAACTTTCTTAAATAATGATTTGGGCAAATTTTTTTTATGGACAATATTTAAATTCATTGATTCTTCATATGGTACACTTATTAGTTTCTGTCTTAAAGATTTTATTCATCAATGTCCATCTTTATTTTGTAGAGGTTTATCAAAATGAGAAAGCTATCTATCCTTTGCAGCTGTGATTGACTTTGTTATTCTGCATTTCTTAAAAATCTGACTTTTTTTAGCTTTTGAAGGAAAAATGTCAAACTAAAGCTAAATTTGTCTGTCCATGATCCATGGTTTATGCTCATCTTGTAAATTGTGCTTTACCTGCTTGTCCATGCTGCATTTTTCTTACCTTGTGATGACTATCATAATCTTCTGGTCTAATGGGCTATTGGGAAGTTTAACCAAAATCATTTGAATTTTTTTTTAACCTGCCAGAAAATCTGTTAATTGACTAAAAGATATTGATTGACTTTTCATTTTATTTAGGCTGGGAGAAGGCTGAAAATGAAGTGTCATCTTTAAAACAACAGCTTGATGCTTCAAGGCAGAAGAACTCAATTCTCGAAGACCGAGTTGGTCATCTTGATGGGGCACTCAAAGAGTGTATGAGACAGCTTCGACAAGCTAGAGAAGTTCAAGAGCAAAAGATTGTTGAAGCTGTTGTGAATAGTTCTCATGACTGGGAATCCAAAAAATCTGAACTTGAGGGGAAAGTTGCTGAACTTGAGGCTCAACTTCAAACAGCTAAAGCAGATGCTGCTGCATCAATTCGTTTTGATCTTCACCACAGATTAGAGGCTGTGCAGAAAGAGAATTTGAGCCTTAAACATGAGCTGCAATCTCGACTAGAGGAACTAGAATTCAGGATAGTTGAGAGGGATTTGAGTTCTCAAGCAGCTGAGACAGCTAGCAAGCAGCATTTAGAGACTGTCAAGAAGGTTGCCAAGCTTGAGGCCGAGTGCCGTAGACTGAAATCCATGACTCGCAAAACATTTTCTGTTAATGATCACAGGTCCGTGACTGCTTCTTCAGTTTATGTTGAGTCCTTCACAGATAGCATGTCGGATAGTGGAGAGAGGCTACTTGCAGTTGAAACTGATATGCATAAATTAGGTGGCTGGGAGATGAATGAATGTGAGCCAAGCCGTTTTGATTCTTGCTCATCTTCTTTAGTTATGGAACTTGATCAATTTAAGAATGAAAAGGCTAATGGAAAAAATCATATGGTTCCTTCAACTGATATCAATCTCATGGATGATTTCCTTGAGATGGAAAGGCTTGCTGCATTGCCAGAGACTAAAAGTGGGAGCAATTTTGTTAGGGGAGGAATAGCATCAGATCAATCTAATGTTGGTCAGGCTACAATGGGAGCTGAAGTTGAAGCTATGATTCAAAAGAATACTGAATTGGAGAAGAAGCTGGGGACAATGGAAGCTAAAATGAAAGCTATGATTCAAAAGAATGCTGATTTGGAGAAGAAGCTGGAGAAAATGGAGGCAGGTAAACTTGAGGTAGACATGGTTTTAACCAAGTACCATTTGCAGCTTGAGACATCAGAGAGCCAGATAAGGGAAGCAGAGTTGAAGGTAACAGAGGTTCAAACTCAGTTAGCTCTTGCGAACAAATCAAATCAAGAAGCACGTGAAGAATTAAAGGCAAACATAGCAAAGAAGGAGATAGTTGAGTCTACACTCAAACGTACTCAAACTGAGGTTGAAGAATTGATTTCAAAAATCCGTTCTTTGGAGGAAGAGATTCAGAAGGAGCGAGCTTTGTCTGCTGAGAATTCAATCAAATATGTAAAGTTGGAGGACGAGCTTTTGAAAATGACGCACAAAGCTCAAGTTCAGCAAGACACCGTGATCAAGCATAGGGAAGTTGTTAATCATGATTTGAAGTTAAAACAGGTCAGTTTGCTAACACTTACTATGGAACTTTGCATTTTAAACCTTCTTTAATGTATTTCATATATTGCAGAAACATGCTAGGTAACCTTCTGGCATTGTTTTTTTATGATGAAATTTGTCAATCTCTCGTTATTGACTTGCCAGTCAAGAAACTTCTCTGCTTCCGGAGTCCAAATTACTAATAGTAACATGATTTGCAAGACCATACTTGTAGTGCTCTCAGTTCCTTTTGTGTTGCAGTTTATATCAAATGTAATTACATATCATATAGTGAGTATTGAAGCTAAATTTCAGTCAAAATGTTGTGTCACTCTAGAAGATTTGTTGGAAATGCATTTGATGCCTAAGTAGACAAAAATACAAGTGATAGTTGTTGACTAGAAAATCATGCATCAACCAATTTATACTTTTTTTCTTATGAAGAGTTTTGCATCTTCTCTGCAGGAGAAGGAACTTGCATTGGCTGCTACTAGATTTGCTGAGTGCCAAAAGACCATTGCATCTCTTGGACAGCAGTTAAAGTCCCTTGCAACTTTGGAAGACTTTCTACTTGACTCAGACAACCCTTCAACTGGTGAAGTCAGGAAAGATCCTCAAAATGGTGGTGAACAATTGAAACTACATCATAGTGATTTGCGCATGCCCAAAAAAGATTCTGGGTCACCCATTTCGTTAAAGTCATCAATCACCAATGAGAAAAGCAGTAATGGCTTGAGTAAGTTCATCCCTAGAAGTAAGAGTGTAAGCAGGAGAGGAGCTCATTGAAAGGAAAGTGGAGAAAATTAATATAAAGTTGAGTTGTAAATTTGGGTTATTCATTTTTATTTCATGGATTCAACGTGTATGAATCCAACGTTACTTATTTACATTACATATATAGTAATGCTTGAAGAAGTAAAAATGTTCAAAGCAAAAATAGCAATACAATACATAAAGTCCAAAATTTAATACGTTCTGTTCTAGGTCTCTAGCTATTGTTGACTTGTGCCTCTTGCTACTCGACAATAAGACAGCTGGTAGCCCCAATGTTCAAGGTACAAAATAAATTATTTGTACCTTTCAGCGCTAATAACGCTGAGATAAATCATTACAATTGATCATTTATGGAAATTGAATAATTGACAACAACTTAACCTCTCAAATCATTGTCTCTTAATCAGATTGAAAGAATAATAAATAAGTAAATAAAAATAATGTTATAAGCAAAATCTCAAATCATTGTCTCTTAATCAGTTGTGAACGAATAATAAATAAATAAATAAAATGTTACAAGCAAAAATTTAAAAGGACGTGGGGTGAGAGAGGCTCGAACTCTCGACCTCAGGATTTCTCTAAAGCTATGAGACCTACGCGCTAGCCAACTGCGCCACCACCCCATGTTGTTAACCATTACATTCTCCTTTATAAGTAAATGTAAGTGATTACGATAATCAGATTAAGAGTTTGTTCGTTGAAAGTTTCATAAAAAAAATAAATACGGAATTGTATGGTTTTTCTTTTGGAGATTTTAAGAAAAAGTAATGGAGGTTGCAATTATAAAAAGTCTTTTTTATTTTGAAAGTTATTTACAATTTTAGATTTTTTTTAGAAGATATTCAAGACAGCTTTTTTAAAATAATCATAAGTATAGTTTCTTTTAGATACTGATTATTTTTTTCAAAATAAAGTGATTTTTCGTTAAAAAAAAAGGCTCTTAATATAACTAAGTTTGAAAAGAAAATCAAATACGTGTGTGTTTGGATTACAATTAAAAAATTAAGTTAAGTTGAACTTAACTTTTCAAACTTAAGTATAAAAGAAAAGCAACACTCTTCTTAGTTTTTATTTAAATGATGTTTACTTACAATAGAAGAAAATTGTCAAACATGTAAGTGTAACGTTTGAGATAATTTAATTGAGATTATAATATTTAAATGTATAACCAAATATAACCAATCAAGTTGGATTGAATCAGTTGGTTAAAGTTATTTAACTAATCCAATTCGAATCAACATAGTAAAACTCTTAGATTGGGTTGATATACTTCTAATTTTATTTTTCAAAAGAAGAACATATAAAATATTAAAATAACATTAAAAATAGATTTTTTTTAATCATATATATACTTATATATTTTATTATTCTTTAAAGATTTTTACAATAAAATTAAAATAACGAGAAGAAAGAGAGGAGAAAAGAAGTTAAAATAGTTAATTCGTGGTTAGATTAATTAGACTTATGAATATGCAATCTAATATTCGATTAGGAAATAGTTAAGTTGTACCTTTCATTATCCAATCTAAGACGAGTATCGGGATCAAAAAAATATGTATTTTGTTGGTTGAGTTGAAACGAGTAAATGAGATTCACAAATTATTTGCATTGAATCATGGAAAGAAAAAAGAGTTGATTAGGTTATGTAACATCAAAAACAGAAGTGAAAAGGAAATAAAGAAGATGATGGTAGTAGCTCCTACTCATAAGTCATACCCCACACAGGTGAGTATCAATTGCATAGCTCTGGTGGACACTCTTTAGGACTATATCCTTGGAATTTAAAATGCAAGTGAAGGATTTTTACGTTCGAAATAAAATATACTAAACACTTATAAACATCATGCATTTAAATTGTAGGTTACTAGGTTCTTGTTTATGTTAATTATTAGACTATAAGCCTCTCAATAATTTCTGGTTGCTTAAAAGTTGAACCTAGGTGCTTAGGCAAATGACCATTTGTTTTTATTCTCCCATTATTGCCTTCTATAACTATACTACTACTGGATAAGTGATTCAAAAAATCTCAATAGAGAACAGTTATTTGATAACTCTTTTGTTTAGCATTTTAAATGTTTTGTAGTCAATTTCTTTTTTCTTGCAGTTGTTAAAATATACGCAAATCAACCGTGATTGACAAGAGAGTTACACAGAGCAAAAAAATTAAAATTAAGTTAAATAATAAATGTAACAGGAAAATGTCAACAGCGGTTCTATGGTGTAGTGGTTAGCACTCTGGACTTTGAATCCAGCGACCTGGGTTCGACTCCCGGTAGGACCTTTTTGTTTTTTCAATATCTGTAAATATATTTATTAAAAATTTTAAAAAATATTTTTTTATTTATTCTAATAATTACTTTAAAAATAAAAATTATAACTTAATTTATTCAAATATAATACACAATTTTATTAATTAAGATTCTTTAATTTAAAAGAAAAATTAATTATTAAAGTATTTTATTAAAATTTTTAATAATAATTTTTTATTTATTATAATAATTAAAAATTCTATAATGTCATTTAATCACAATCAATCATAAATTTATTGTTTTTTTTATTATAATAATTACTTTAAAAATAAAAATTATAACTTAAATTGTTTTAATATAAAACACAATTTTTTTAATCAAGATTTTTTAATTTAAAAACTAAATTTAATTATTAAAGTATTTTAATAATATAAGTTTAACAAATTCAATAAATTAAAATAATTCAATTTCACAATTTCAAAATAAAAGTTAAAAAAGTTACAATATCTCAATCTCTCATATATAAATAATATAAGTATTCATGTCTTAGAAGCTCCTCCAAGATGCCGTGTTCCTTTTCTAATCAAGGATGTAATGAATTTCTATATGAAACAGTATCATTGTATAACTTTTTAGACTTTATCCACCTTAATACAAAAAAAAATAAAAACAGACATTTTATTTAAGTAATATCACATTTTTACTTAATACATGTCATATATATAAATAATAATATTTAATGATTTTATAATAATAAACATTCGTGAGATGGGTATTCTAATATTCATCTCGTCTCCACTTATTAATATGTATGAATATATCCATTTAAATTATTTATGAGTATCCAGTTATTATTTGTTATAAATTATATATATATATATATAT